ATAGAGGTCGGCTAATAATCTCGTGGAAGCAACCAGGGCTAAATTCAAGCACACCCCATTAATAGGCTCAAGGCCCTCAGCTTGTAACGCAGTATGGGCCGGGGCAAGTCTTGCCCCGACTGCAGACAGGCGATTGAGGTAGCACAGGAGCGTTTCGCTGTGAGACGTGGTCTCGTGAAGAAGGTCCACTGCCACGGCAGATGGGGTAAGGCGGGCTGGCTGTGGACAGACGTCGTCGCCCACCTGCGTTATGCCAGAATAGGGAACAAAGTGAGTCCTGCCCTGGTACTGCACCCGGCATCCCTTTAAGTCACAACAATCTTGCACAAGTCCAACCGCAAAAGGGGCTTCCACACCAAACAGGCACTCCGCTATGGGCTGGCACACCGTCAGACTGGTGCCTGATGGGGGTTCCGCTCCTTGATGACCACAGTACCGGTGTCCCAGGCTTGTCCATTGAACCGTGTGGAGAGGCCTGCCCGGCGAGGTGGAGTGCACAAGGCCACGAAGGGCGTGGGCCATGCGCCCCGGAGCGGTGCGTATAACCAGTTGACAACTTGCGTTGGCCAATGCTGCCGAGGACGGCTGTCCCTCTTGTTGTCCACCAGTCTGGAACGCCCACTCCAATTCCTGCTCCAGGCTGCGAATGGACAAGTAGGGCCGCACTGCAGTGACGTCGACTCCGATTTAAGCCGTTTTTTTTCTCGGCCCCGACAAATCTCGTAACTGACCCCGTGTTTTTTTTCGGACCCCGGTGGATCTTTTTCTGGGCCTCTAATGTCTTTTTTCTGACCTCAGCAAAGATAGAAGCACGCACACATGACATAAAACACAATAACTTTGCAACGCAAACCGCACAAAAACTAACTTAACCATACCATAACTTCTCACGCACACACAAAAGAAGAAGAAGCACGAGATCGCTTTTAGGGGCTGGAAAACGTTTTCCAACATGAAAGCCGAAGCGGAATCACCTGTCCCAATGATTGTTGGCTGGAGCGCAGTTGATGGGTTGAACGGCTACCACCGGTAAAGTCTGTGCGCCGCAGCCCTTGTAGAGCTTCGCTTTTGTCTCACTGCTTTTGCAGTTTTGGTTTCGACGAGGTCCGCTCACGCCAAAAAAAAATGGAGCGAAAGTCAGAATCCGCTGTGTCTTCACGCCGCATGCGCGGTCTTTTTGGAGACACATATCACAATGCCGTGCTGTCAGATGACTGAGAATGCTCTTAGCTCTGCATTGTTTGGATTAGTTGCTTCGTAATTGAGCAGAACGGTGTGGATGTAGTGCGGATGTGGTTCAAGCTTGATAGCGTCACTGATCAGATCATTGAGACTGGAATGCGAGCTAGGACTACCAGACCTTGCACTTTGGATAAGGTGCCTCTGACACCACGGCTGGCGGCGTGCCTTGAGATGGATGTCCCACATGAACAATAAGATTGTTATGCTTGACCGTCTTGAATCGCCAGGTGCAAGAGAAGTGTCTGCGATCCAAAAATTAAAAGTTGGGTACTGTGTCTGATGAGAAAGTCCTCTTCGGACTGGTGCCGGGAGACGTGAAAAAGACGCACAGGCGCCATTTGCACCATTCCGACCATTGGGAGGTGCTCTCTTGCAGAACGCGGAGCGATTCTTCTGTTGTCTGGATCAATCGCACTGGAACTTTCGGAATTGCTTCCGCGGCTTATTGTTTGGTCCTTGCTTTTAAGAAGGGAATCGAAAACCCGTCAGACCTCTTGACTAAAAAATTGGGGTTCTCGGTTTTCAGGATACATCGCGAAGCGTTGGGCTTTGAGTCGCTGTCGAGACCACTTGCGTCTTTATGTGGTCATGAGAAGAGATTGGTGATGGTTGCAGTGTGCTGTCGACCGCAGTCGAGTATTCACGATGCATGTCGCAAAGTCGGGATGAGTTACGTTGGTGTGACACAGAACATGCAGAGTGACAGCGTGTTCAAAGATGTGTGTCGGTATCTTCTGAACTTTGCGTGTGACTGCGTGTTTGTGCATGTGTCCACGCTTTGCTCTTCTGGATCTTACTTGCGTCGGTTCTCTGGCGGGAGCTCGTCGAAGTCGGATTGGGAATGGTTTGAGGTGTTTCCTTGTGTACTGAAGTACTTGAGGCTTGGGAAGCACTCGAGCTTTGAGCTGCCATGGAATAATGAGATTTTGCAACATGACTTGTGCCAGAAAGTGCTGAAGAAGGCAGGCCACACGTTCGATGTGCCGGTGAAGTTGTGCATGACTGGTCTTTGTTCCAAAAGGGGTGAACCTATAGGCAAAGTCTTGGGTTTTACTTCGACTTCTGAAAAGTTTGTGTCTGCCCTGAAGTGTTTTTCTAGCTGCAAGTGTGCTAAGCATGCAAATCTGTGGCAGGTTGGGTGGACCGAAACAGGTTTTTACACTCCGAAACTCGCTGATGCGATTGTTCGAGGTGCGATCAAAACGTTGCAGTGATGCTTTTGGGGGGTTTGGGCCGGGCTGTTGGCTGGGTTCGGAGTCTCCTCTTGACGCCGGTTTCTTTGCGGACGTTGAGGTCTGCAGACAAAGCTCCGTACTGGTGCTAGTTGTTTTTGCTTGTGAAACCTAGGTGCGAACTCGTGCCGCCATGGTTCTCACGGCCGATGAGCGCAGGGAGCTGCGCCGTTTGCTGGATAAGATGGATTCTGCAGATGGCTTGGCTTCGACTGACAGTACTTCTATGACCGATGGGACCAAGCGTCTCAGAGATGTGGGTGGATATCCGGATATCCAAAGGATGGGTCTACTGCATCAGGTTCTGCTTGCGGTGCCCAGCTGCCGATTTCAAAGGGAAGCGCAAAGGGTGTTGTGAGCACGCCCAAGTGTTATGAAGACCTCGTCGATGCAATCGAGGGGGAAGAGTTTGGGGAGAGTGACAATGTGATTGTCGTGAGCTATGCGGGTACTGAGGTCACCTCGGTGCCACTTCCAAGTGATCTCTCTTTGGAGGATTGGGGTCGGACAATCTGCGATCTGCCAAAGATCCAGAAGAATAAGATTTGGTTTAAGAAATCCTATGCGGCCTTGGTCAAGCTATCCAAGGAGGATAGCGACCTTTCAAGCTACCTCAATTGGGTCAAGGAGAAGTTTGGTCGCAATTACGATCCGACGACCTCCTCCAATCAAGCCTCGGACCTTGCGGGGTGTTTGATGAGGATTGGTTTTTTCAAAGCAGAAGGGATTCCAGCGCAAATTGGCAGAGGAGTGAAATCCTTGCTGGATTGCGGAAGAGTTCTTTATCAATTTGGGAACATGGGTACATGTATGAGCGGTGAGAGCTGGTATTCTCAAGGATGCCTATGTGTATGTTCACTGGTAGAAGTCTGTTGGGCTTCTCTTTGGGTGATATCCTGTCTGGCATGAGAGAAGAGCTGGCTATCTAGCGCGATATTTTTCAATACCTATGTCTTCGTCGCTTCGCATGGGTTGCAGCGTGGCTACATGGTTGGCAATGTTTCAATGTGTGCTTGGTGTCGAGAAGCGCTTGTTGTGGACAGCAGCGAGGATGAGAGATGATACACACATCGAAATGGGGTGTGAAAAGTTGTGCCTCTGAGCTGCCTGTTGAGTGGTGGAGCCGCTCAGTGTGATGGGCTGTGATCTGTCTATCATCAGGCTGCTGACTGCAGTTTGGAGTGCGAGCCAATTTCCTGCGATTCCTGCAATTTTCTGAGGTGCAGTGGTTATCTGGATATATTCTGCATGGTTTTGGTTTTGCAGAGGTTTTCTCAAAGCATTGGAAAGTTTTCACTGGGAGCTGTGGTTTTCATGGCATGGAACCTTGGTTTTCAGCTGCGAGAACAGTTTTCGACATGTGGCGTGAGTTGCTTGAGCTTTTGAGTGAGCTGAGTGAGTGCTGTGAGCCGTTAGATTGGTTAGAGTCCACATGAGTTCTCGAAGGCCTCAAGGTACCTTCTCGAACAGCAGTAGTATGTGCGAGTTTGTTTTGCCAGCGTGGAGCTTGTAGAGAAGCTGTGACTGCATGCTTTTGAAGCGAAGTTTTGTTTTGGGCATGTGCTGAAGCACATGTGAATCCGGAGTGCCGCGCTTTATGTGTGGCTCAAGGCTGGAAAGCTTTGAGGCTGAAGCTCGTTGAAAGATTGAGCCGATGATGAAACACGTTCTGAGGCTCATTAAAGCAAAGCTTTAGGTGACAGCAGTGCAGTGCAAGAACAGCTGAACACTTTCTTCGTTGCGCGAGCAAAAGTCTGTGCAGACCTTGACGGTTGTTCAGGGTTTGAAAGTTTTACATCTTTGCCCTTGGATGGACACCGTGCGACTGATTCTGGAATCAAGCTCTGGGCGGATTGCATCCCGGGCTACAAACAGTGCCCCTATATGAAGGCCATTGCGCTACCCAAGTTTACGGGCGGCAGGACCAATTCTCATGTTGGCCATTGCGCGACCCAGACTTTACGGGACACGGGAAGCAGAGCCAGTGAACCGTGGGGCCGCGTGCACTTGATTTCTGAACGACTTTGCCGGCCAAGTCTGTATGTCGCAGCTCATTGTCTCACTTTGTACAGGTATTAGTTCACTCTTTTCGTTCATTCTTGCTTTATTGTAGTTCTTACTGGGGCCGAGCGCAGCAACTGCTGTCTACGAGGCCCGCCCACGCCAAAAAAAGTCGGTTGCCGCATGGTTCTGGGACATGTTGAGAGAGACTGCAGAGGTCAGTCGTCTTGATAGCTCTGGAGAGTTGGTAAGTCAGTCGTCTTGCGGTCGCTCTGAAGTGCAGTTGGTGGTCAGTCGTCTTGCGGTGGTCCGAAGCGCAGTGGGTAGGTTGTTTGCCTGCGAGGGTGGTTGGAGCTTCTGCAGTCGAGTGCCGTAGGAAAGCTTTGTCAGGATCGCCGTTTGTGCAGGACCATGCGGTGGCATCTTCTTCCACGCCGACGACCTGTTCGGAACAAAGCCCGTCTTTGAGTGCGCAAGGTTCTTTGCAAGATTCTGGTGAGCTTGTGCAGCGGAGTGCTTGCGTGCATGGCTTGGTCGGTCGGTCGGGGTCGATTAAGCGTGCTGCGTGCGATGTTGCAGGGCAGCAGTGTGGCTCAACATTTGAGGCAGAAGATGAGGCCCACAGCAAAGGTGGGGTGGTCGCGTGCGGGCAGCACGGCGGTAGTGGAGGAAATCTCCTCGGAGGAGGTTCGCCACGGGGTGCAGCGAGCAGCTTGCAGCTTGGCAGCGCCAGTAGCGGCGCCGGAGGGTCTAGTGGACAAGGTTGCCGCAGTGCTGAGCGAGAACTACTTTGGGAAGTTCATCGGGGCGGCCCTGATGTTGCGAAATCGCTTGAGGAGGCTTTCGCAAAAGAAGAGGCAGAAGGCCAAATGTCCCCGCTCTCCCTTGCAGAGGCCCGGAGCCGCTATCCAGGTGCAACACTTCGTATTGCAGCTCAGGCAGTGATACCGAAACCTGACCAAGATTTTCGTGTGGTCCATGATGGGACCCACTCAGAGTTCTTCTTCAGGCAGTAATATTTATGCTCATTTACGCCGATGACGAAAATGTGCTCAGTGGGGGCGCCGATCGCTGGCTCAATCTCTGGATGTCTCTTGCGCTTCTCTGCCTTCAGGGGACCCCCTTTTCAGAACGCAAATGGCGCGGGGGCCTGCAGCTTGATTGGGTCGGGTACGGGCGCGTCAAGCTTGGGATTTCTGAAAAGAGGTGCCGATGGATCATCAGTGGCATCGAATCCATGGAGGAGAATGGATGGCTTGTGGATGTCAGGCGCTTTCACGAGTTTCACGGGAGACTCGGTTTCATGTCTCAGGTCTTAGTTTGGATTAGGCCCTTCTTGACTTCTTGGCTCCTGGTTACGCTTGGCTGGCTGCTGTGTGGAAGGGATCGGTCCTCGTATCTCATACGATGTGTCTTGAGGTTTATCGCTGACCGCTTGAGGCACGGGGCTCGTACTTACGAATCCGCTGAGGTTCTCGCTTTGCTTGCGGCGCTACACTTGTTGAGACGTGACTTCAAGGAGCTTTGGTCTGTCCCAGGGCACTTCCGTGCTAGTTTCTGTGGCGGGACAGATAATAAGTCTGCCGAGGCACTGTCCTGCAAACTGCTTACGACGCGAGTGCCACTCATGTTCGTTGTGATGGAGTTTGTCACCTTTTGTGACGCTCTGGGTTTCAGGTGCAACCTCAGTTGGAGACCCAGGGACTCCAATCAGGAAGCAGATCGCATCACCAAGCATGTTTTCGAGGGCTTCGATGAAAACTTGAGATTACCTTTCAGCTGGTCAGAAATGACCTTGTCAGTTCTGCCGTCTCTCTTGAGATTCGCAAGCTTTCAGTCTGAACTTGACACCATCAAGGCTTCGATTGCAGATGATGACAAGCTCAGCTCCTCGAATAAGGTTCGAGAAGAGTCAGTGGGGATGAGGGAGCGGAGATGCCCTCGTCTGCGAAAGGGGGCAAATCCCTCTCGTCATCTCCTGTGTGCAGGAGGTTTCATATGCCATATGCACTGTGTGATCTCGGGCTGTGCGGACCAAAACGAAGTCTTCTTGCGCGTACTGCTGTCGTTCCCTTTCCTTAAACCCTTTCCTTAAACCCTCCGGGTTTTAAGAAGGTTCGAGCCTCCTAGGTACAAGCCTCGTTTGGGCAGCGAAGCGGACCAAACAGTTTGTTCCAAGGAGGCCCGGGGGGTGGGGGGGGACAATGGGAGCTTGCGACCACTTTCAGTTCTGTACGCCTGCGCCATCGTGCTTCGGTCCGCGGCTTGCGTGCAGTTGCTCTCAGTCATGTCAGTCATGTCAGTTGCTTGCAGTTTTCAGTTTACTCTACACGCGTGGCATTTCAGTTTTCCCTTTTGCGAAACATTCATGTGAGATTGATTTTAAAGAAGTTTCCTCTTTGAGCACTCCTCCTCAAAGGAGGTACTTTCCAACTCCGTGATTTATCATTCCAGACGTTTGTGATTGCATGTTATTTGAGTTGCGGGCGACTCGCCCCCCTTTCAGTTCAAATGATATATCTTACGCCGATACATTCTGGATCAACCGGAAGGGGACTTTTAGTCCTTTTAGTGTCCCGCCCGGCCCACCCTGTGTATTATTTCTCATACGGTCTGTGTGTGTGACAGCCCAATCTGTGCAGGGGCAAATCCCTCTCGTCATCTCCTGTATGCAGGAGGTTTCATATGCACTGTGTGATCTCGGACTGTGCGGACCAAAACGAAGTAACGAAGTCTTCTTGCGCGTACTGCTGTCGTTCCCTTTCCTTAAACCCTCTCCTTAAACCCTCCGGGTTTTAAGAAGGTTCGAGCCTCCTAGGTACAAAACACAGAGTTTTCATAACGATTGGATAACATTACATGACTTTGCTAAGAACTTCATGACTCGATGTTTTGTCGTCATGTGATATAGCTCAGTAGGACTTGTATCTATATATCATAGGTACAATTTCTGTTTACTGTACGTTTGCACTAAACGTGTCTTCATCGCGATGATAAGCGTCGCCGCCTGCATCACGAACAACGCATCAGCGGCGACGTTGACAAGAGTGGTGTCATCACGATGAGCACCACTCCCAGCGGCGCGTCGGAGCCAGCACGTCAGGGTATGGCGCAGGAGGGTGTGCGTCGACTCCATGATTGGCTTCGCCATCAAAGTCGCCATGAAGGAGACGATGAGTTGGAGCGATGGGTGCCTGCCTCGGCCCCTCCAGCCAAGTCGCGGAGTTGGGCTCCGGTCTATTCGCACGGTGTCATTCTTCGTTGGGAAAAGGCTATGGCACCTGAGGCGGCGGCTGAGACGTCCGCAAACTGGTCCAAGCATCTGGAGACTACGACTGACCGGTGGCAGCGTTCCATAGAGTTCACCTGCCCGGCCAGCGAGTCGACGTCTGGGTCTGCGGGATCAGGAGGCGTCGACCCCGATCGCCGCGAGGCTGTGTCTGCGGCATCAGGAGGCGTCGACCCCGATGTCCGCATGACGCCGGTTGGGAAGACTGAAAGCGCATCGATGGATGCTCCCAGGGCCGCTCCTGCGAAGCGTCAGATTACGTTGCAGCAAGCCGAGGCTCCTTTTTTGATGACGGAGGGGGGGGGAAACTGTTTAGGATATATAATGTTGGATAGAGCAACCGTAGGCTTTTTCTTTTGGAGATGTTTTCTTGTTCTTAGGGAAATTAGCATGTAGCACGTAACTGCTCTGGCTTCTTATGTCTGCTGTTCTTCTATTAGCGTTCGCTTGGATTCTGACCTGTCTGACCCCTCAGATGGCTCGTGGGGATCTGGTTGGTCGATGGCGTATAGTTGGCGCCGTGAGAAAGAAGGGCAGCAGCTACAGGGATGTGGTCTCCAGCGATTTCCATCGTCAGTTTCCCGACTTGTTCCAGGCCAGCTGCGTGGATTTGAAGTCAAAGCTTAACTCCGTTTACTGGTTCTTACACGTCAGTGCCCAGTCAGAGGAGCCTCCCTGCCAGGAATGGTTACGACGTCGCGAGCTTGATCATGTCGTGGAAGAGTTTGCTCGTGAGACCAATTTTCCACGAGAGCGATTTCGCTTTTATCGCTTGGCAGACTCGATGCTCAAGGTGACACCCGGGCCGACATGGAAGCAGGCCTTCCACGGCACTTGGATGTACGGAGTTTGGTCAACGCTGGCGGCTGGGCAGGGCAGCTACTGGCGTCCGAGGACGAAGACAAGGGACATGAGTTTTGGGCGGCGGGCATCTACTGCACTCCCCTGTTGGAAACCGCGTTCAGTTACGCTCGTGCTCAAGTTCGTTGTTGTAAGTCACAGAGTATTGTATGTTTGTTTCATGTCTCTATTCTTCGCGCTCGAGATTTTTGGTGTGAAAAATAGAGACATGACATCTTGCTTCACAACTGAGGCCATGTTTGCAGATGGGTCGTACTGTCGAGCTATCTTCGAGCTCATGGTAGATTTCGACCAGCTGACCGCAAAGCGAAACAAGGGAGGAGTTCAGTGGGTGAGCAAGCCTGAAGGCGTGGCTGTCCTTGGTGTCTGGCTTCTGGTAAACGCACCGCCAAGCAAAGGAGATGAGTTCATGGAGGCTTGGGACCCGGTTCTTGAAGTTCGTCCTGAAAACAAGCCTGCAGTTGCTGCCGTGGTAAACGAACGTCAAATGGTTGGGGACGAGACGCTGAAAGGGTGCCGCGCGTGGGAGACATGTGCAAAACCGCCGAAAGCTCTGTTGGACGGCGTCTCCGGAGTCGCTGGAGGCATCGACCCCGCGACGTCCGGAGTCGCTGAAGGCATCGACCCTGCGACGTCGGCAATCGCTGGAGGCATCGACCCCGTGACGTCTGGATTCGCCGGAGGCATTGAACCTGCGACTTACGCTGGGGTACCTCCTCCGTGGCTAGACATCGAGCCCGCAGCGGACGATGACGTACCAGAGGAGCCAAGGCTTGAGTGTGTTGACGGCGTGTTTGGTTGGGTGTGACTTTGTTCAGTGAAAGATTTGCTAGAAAAGCATGTCAATATATATATATATAGAAATATAGAAAGTTAACTATACAAAAAAGAATAGCTGTATCGTGCATTCAGGTACCGACAAAAATAGTGGAGATTGTGTCGTATGGAATGAACTACCAACGGGTCGACGGCGCGGACATCTATGTAGATCTGCGAGATTTACGAACGCCCGACTATGACCATCGAGCATCCCAGCACCTCGGCAACCGGCCGCCGAAGAGACCTTCGGGTCTGGATACAGAAACCCGGATGGCCGTCGCAAGCAGCCTGGAAGCTCAGCGCATCTTCTCTGCTGTCTTGGATCATATTGACAGTATCAGGGCAGAGCGAACCGACGAAGCGGTCCGGGTTGCCCTGCAGTTGGGGAAAGCGTCGAAGTGTGGGGTTTGTGGAGATGTTGCGATCTGCCTTGGAGGATCGCTATATTCTTTCTGTGACCCACATGGAACGATTTCGCTGAGACAAGCGCCATAATTGGCGGAATGATTGGTGGCCACCCGGGTGGAATTCCCCGACGAACTTTTTTTCCTGGCGAAAGGCGCGACGTGACTTGTGTCTCTTGGACACGTCGCTGGAGGCATCGACCCCGCGACGTGTCGTGCTGTGACTCAACGCATCGGCTAAAAAATGCATCGGTGCCGAACCGTTTCGGATTGGCTTCGCTCTTTAATGTAGGATTTTACAACTTTGGGATCGCGCATTCCCTGTTGTGGTCCGAAGAGCGACCGCTTCGTCGCCTGCGACCAGTTCATGCATGGCGATGGTCTCAGCTTGCATCCTGCTAGTGCGCTGCCTTTCAATACACGGGTCAGGAGTGAGGTTGTGCAGGTGGCATATATGTTGCCCGCAGATCTTACTGGCTCAACCAGCTATTATATGTTGCCCGAAGATCTTAGTGGCTCAACCAGCTATGTCGTGTTCTTTTTACGTGGCTTTGACGCAAGAACAAGCCCAAGATGTGACTACGCGGCACGCCTTGCAGGCTACGGCTTTGTGCAGCTCGCATGCTTTGCCGCTGTGGAGTCGCAAAGAATGGGCTCTGGCATCCTTTTTCCGGGAATGCAACCGTCGCGGGCAGTCCGTGTTGGACCCTGCTGCCTCCGACACAGGAGGCTTCGACCCCGTGTCACGGAGGCCGATTGAAGGGCGCACGTACCGCTTGGTTGACAATGTTCAGCAGGCGGTAGCTGGGGAGTTCATTGCGCACCTGCTCGAGGTGAAGATGCTCGCGGACCAGGTGAAGACGCTGCAGGAGCTGAAGTTGCTGTACTTGGACAGAAGGCAGGAGCGGATGGAGCTGCGTGGCATTTTGCCGTTGCAGCCTGGCAGCTTTCAAACGGAGTACATTCTTTATGAGAGCATCGACTGTCTGCATTGGGTGGATCATTATGTCGCAACTGAATATTACTTTCGGTGCACGGGTCGCTGCTCCCGGCGGCCGTGCGCCGCTGGTGGTGCCTGTGTGACTTGGCTGTTTATCATAATCACGTTTTTGCGTCTGTGCTTCTTTACGTTGGCTGCAGTCTGAACCCTTGTAAAATCCCGGTGGACAGGCGTTTGTTTGGTCCCCGTGGAGAATCGATGATCCCGTGCAGCCTTCCCGCCACGTTTGCGGAGTTTGCTTGTTGCGGGAGGCACGCAACTCCTGAGGGTGGCTGGCTAGGGCGGCTAGGAGGCGACGACCCCAACATGTGCGGCTCTGCGCAGAGACGTAACGTTTTTTAATTTTGTATGGGCAGTGCAGGCTCGACGACCACGGCACGTGCTGCTCTACGCAAAGACGTGACGCACATCTCGTATCTGTGCGTTAATAAAGGATGCGCGAGATGCTAAATAGCTGCGATCCATGTTGCGTCTTTCGTATCATTCCTTATTTTCTGCGACTGAGGTTTCATCACCATGTCCTGACCGCCATGCAGATCCGCGATCTTCGTGTGGGCCCCAGGTTACGTGAACAGTGATCCTTTTGCATCGTCACCTTGACATGTTCGCATGCTTCGCCATGTAGAACTGTTTCAGGCTCTAGCGAAATGCCAACACAGACATGTCTAGACCGCAAGTGTTCATCGCGTTTGAACGTGTCATTCATGCTTTCAATGTGTTTCCTCGAGACTCGAGGCCAACAAGTCCACAAGGCCAACTGCTACAAGATGAGGTACGCAGGAGATCCTTAACATAGAGTGATGGTGCCAGGTGCATTCTCGCCGAATACGTTCTGGCATGATCCTTCTGTCAGGACACAACCTCACTTCGCTCTGACGCCGTCACCGCTCGACATTCCTACCTGCTTGCGATGAAAATGAGAAAAAAGGAAAAACATCATGACAAACATGACCTTGTATCATCAACCATGCCGGCGATGCAGTACACTCACGGGATCCATGTAATGTTTATTTTGTTCGTGCATCTCGTGCAAACGTGGTGATACGACTCTCGTGCTGCCCTGATTCCTTCTCCGGCTATTTTCCTTAGGGGATGCGATATCTGCGTTACGCGTGTCTGCATTCGGGCTCGTGGCCCCTATATCAGGTTTCAGTTCCGCTCGGGTTTTACTCCTGTGAATGGGGTCTTTTGTGGTGTGTTGGGATGCGATTTTGAGACGACCTCTTGATTTTGGCATATCTTGTCAGTTCTTTCCAAACAACTTTGCAGCCCAATCAAACCGTATCTGGTGCGCAGATGTGGGTGGGCTCCAATGCGGCTTCATCAATTTCTAGTTTAAACTGAACAGCAATGCAGCGTCGACCCCGGACTCCTTCCGGTCGTGCAGCTTTGCGCTTTAGCGCGGCCTGCTACGGAAGTCCGCCCCCTTAAACTTAGGCAACATGGAATCTGAGCCCGACAACCAGCTCAGAGCATCTGCGCTAGACCAGCTTCAAGCCCTCGACCTACAACTTTTGACGCCGTGAGTTCGGAAATGTTGTGTCTACGGTTAACGCCTTGACACAAATGGAATGTGTTTTGCCCTCCTGAAGCACGAAGGTACTTGAAGCGGCCCTGTATGCGTCAAGCCGCGACTGACGAGTCTTTTTTCAAAATCAAAAATTTGCAGCGCATGCAGGAATTGAAATCCAGCGGATGAGCAGCCCTAAGCTGGCAACATGCAGGAGCAATCCAACTTCGCCCATGCCCGAAGTAGAACGCCCTAAACACCGAAGGCCAACCATGAAACTTCGGAGCCAGCCACAATGTTCGCTGATGATGCTTGCATTGTGGCGAACGAACTGGTTTTTTGGATATTTTTGATGCTTGAGCCGCTAGCCGCTAGTTCCCCACCCGGAACGAGCAAAGCTGCAACGAAACTTGACTTTCTACAATCGTCATTGTGCGTCTTCGTGTATGTGTGTCGGCATGCAAGCCTGTTGCAAAATGCGGCCACCGCCGCAGTCATGTTGGTTCGAATTTGCCAGTCCCTCAACGTATTGCGGCGGCTCCAGGAGCCAGATGAGAAGTGCCAAGTCAAATTATGGCTAAATGTGCAGATACAAAGGGGCTTCAAAGGGGCATGTAGAACTGCAATTCAGATTATGTATTTTCAGACAGTGTGTGTGGAAGTTGAAGCCTTCTCCGAGCAAGAGTTCGGCCGACCCCATCTCACATCACGTGGAGTCCGAGTAATCTCTCGTTATGACGCAGGCTCCGGTCGCATGTTCTGATGCCGGCTTCTTTCGTCATGGGCCTAGGCAGCACCCATGTAGGCGACATAGAGGCTTTATTGACGGTGTACCAGTACGACAGGCAAATCTGCGGTGAGGACCAACGGAATGGAACTGTAGCTGGGAAACATCCTGGGCGGAGGTTTTGTCAGGATTGTCCTTTTCAACTCGGCCTCAGCTAAGCCTCCCACAGGATCTGCGACTGCGAAGTCCTGCCAGCAGCGCGTGGACTGGTCTTGGGAAGCTTGGATTCAACACTTTTGAAGCTGCACAGGTTTGCGGTCTGCCTTTCTCGGAGCACCGAGATTTGCTAGCCACATGTAACAAACTGCAGCTGTCTTGGCCCGCATCGTCCATCGCTCATTGCGTCACCATGGCGGCCCCAGCAGAACCCGTGTACACGACCATGCCGCCCTACACGACCGAGCCGATGCCGGCTTACACCTACCAGCAAGATGCCGGCGTGCCGGTGACCTACGCATCGTCGCCCTACACGATCTCGGCAGGAGCCTACACCATGCCAAGCATGCCAGCTTACTCGCCGCCTGTCTACAGCGGCTTGGACCATACCAAGGGCAAATGGTTCGCACCCGGTGAGGCGCTTCCCCCCGGCTTCGTCGTCACCTCCCACCCGGAGGGTCACACGGCACCCCAGGCAGGTTGATTGCTTACACGTCTCATGTGAAATTCTTGAGTTCGGTAGTTAGCAGTTGTGCGATGGGTCGTGCTAGCTTGAAGCTGAAAAACATTAACTTGGAGGCAACCCACGACATGACGGACATGGCTCGCGAGAGCTTTGTGGTGACCGGCACAGCAGCCAGCTCTGCCTTGCCCAAGGCCGCCGCTCCGACAAAGAAGAGCAAGAAGGGCAAGAAGAAGAAGTCCAGCGGCTGCTGCTGAGATCGAGTGAGAGGATACGGGGAGGTGATGGCAACTTTGGGCTCATTTCTCCTGGCTGTCTGAGGTGCCGGCCAGGGAAAAGGGCTTAGAAAGGTTTCGGTCTTTCAGGCCGTTGCAAGCCACACCGGCATGCCAATGAAGTTTTCTTTCGAGGCTCACCTTGACGTTGACGGCCTCAAGAGCAGTTGAAAAAGGTGACAGACGAGATGCAGCTTTGCATGCGGTCCAGTTGTACCGAATGCAGAACAGACTTGTCGTCTCCAGCAAAGTGCATCATTGCCATCAGTTTGTTTCGGATTTTGCATCTAGGTCTGCGTATAGTTACCTCAACGCCGTATTTGCCGTCGTAAATTCCTTCCTCAACCCTGGCCCCTGGCAAAGTGCCCAAGCCCATCCGCTGTGAAGTCAAAGCTCGTGAATCTAACTGCTCCATCCCAAGTCCGCAGAACGCAAGATCGATGGTTACGTATATACACACACATACATGTTTTAAGAGGTATAGAAGTTTCGGAATGTGGTTTGTTGGCCTGGTTCAGGGGGTAGCATGTCTCTTGGTGCAGGGGTTGCACGCAGCAATTTCGGAAAGCCTGGCAACGGGGTAGTAGCGCTTTAGATACGCTTGACTTCAATTTTGCCAGCTTTCGAAAGTCCTTGGAAAGCGTTGGATCGTGTCATACCAGACTCGTATCATCTGCGAACATGGTTCTTGCTACTGATGCCGATGCGTGCGTGGGTGGGTGAGTCAGTGAGTGGGTTTTTCTGCGTAAGCGCGTGCATGCATTCGTCTGTGTGACGGTCGACAAGGACGTCCTTTGGCCCCTGCCGTAAGCCCAAGCCCAAGAAACGAAAGTCCCCCCATCGTGGCGAATTCGCCCCCCTCGCCTGTACGATCCCGTGTGTAGATGGGGCATTCCCCTCGCAAAGCTCCGCCACTTAAGAGCCCCGGCTTTCTCGTTACCTGTTTGATTCTCGGCGTCCTTTCCTTACCTGCGGCTGCAACGGTTGGTAGCAGAAGCTGCACTAACAATCTGCAGCTGTCTTGGCCCGCATCATCCATCGCTCATTGCGTCACCATGGCGGCCCCAGCAGAACCCGTGTACACGACCATGCCGGCCTACACGACCGAGCCGATGCCGGCTTACACGACCATGCCGGCCTACACGACCGAGCCGATGCCGGCTTACACCTACCAGCAAGATGCCGGCGTGCCGGTGACCTACGCATCGTCGCCCTACACGATCTCGGCAGGAGCCTACACCATGCCAAGCATGCCAGCTTACTCGCCGCCGGTCTACAGCGGCTTGGACCATACCAAGGGCAAATGGTTCGCACCCGGTGAGGCGCTTCCCCCCGGCTTCGTCGTCACCTCCCACCCGGAGGGTCACACGGCACCCCAGGCAGGTTCATTGCTTACACGTCTCATGTGAATTTCTTGAGTTCGGTAGTTAGCAGTTGTGCGATGGGTCGTGCTAGCTTGAAGCTGAAAACATTGAATTGGAGGCAACCCACGACATGACGGACATGGCTCGCGAGAGCTTTGTGGTGACCGGCACAGCAGCCAGCTCTGCCTTGCCCAAGGCCGCCGCTCCGACAAAGAAGAGCAAGAAGGGCAAGAAGAAGAAGTCCAGCGGCTGCTGCTGAGATCGAGTGAGAGGATACGGGGAGGTGATGGCAACTTTGGGCTCATTTCTCCTGGCTGTCTGAGGTGCCGGCCCGGGAAAAGGGCTTAGAAAGGTTTCGGTCTTTCAGGCCGTTGCAAGCCACACCGGCATGCCAATGAAGTTTTGTTTCGAGGCTCATCTTGACGTTGACGGCCTCAAGAGCAGTTGAAAAAGGTGACAGACGAGATGCAGCTTTGCATGTGGTCCAGTTGTACCGAATGCAGAACAGACTTGTCGTCTCCAGCAAAGTCCATCATTGCCATCAGATTGTTTCGGATTTTGCATCTAGGTCTGCGTATGGTTACCTCAACATACCTCAACGCCGTATTTGCCGTAGTAAATTCATTCCTCAACCCTGGCCCCTGGCAAAGTGCCCAAGCCCATGCGCTGTGAAGCCAAAGCTCGTGAATCTAACCGCTGTGAAGCCAAAGCTCGTGAATCTAACTGCTCCATCCCAAGTCCGCAGAACTCAAGATCGATGGTTACGTATATACACACACATACATGTTTTAAGAAGTATAGAAGTTTCGGAATGTGGTTTGTTGGCCTGGTTCAGGGGGTAGCATGTCTCTTGGTGCAGGGGTTGCAGCAATTTCGGAAAGCCTGGCAACGGGGTAGTAGCGTTTTTGATACGCTTGACTTCAATTTTGCCAGCTTTCGAAAGTCCTTGGAAAGCGTTGGATCGTGTCATACCAGACTCGTATCATCTGCGGACATGGTTCTTGCTACTGATGCCGATGCGTGCGTGGGTGGGTGAGTCAGTGAGTGGGTTTTTCTGCGTAAGCGCGTGCATGCATTCGTCTGTGTGACGGTCGACAAGGACGTCCTTTGGCCCCTGCCGTAAGCCCAAGCCCAAGAAACGAAAGTCCCCCCATCGTGGCGAATTCGCTCCCCTCGCCTGTACGATCCCGTGTGTAGATGGGGCATTCCCCTCGCAAAGCTCCGCCACTTAAGAGCCCCGGCTTTCTCGTTACCTGTTTGATTCTCGGAGTCCTTTCCTTACCTGCGGCTGCAACGGTTGGTAGCAGAAGCTGCACTAACAATCTGCAGCTGTCTTGGCCCGCATCATCCATCGCTCATTGCGTCACCATGGCGGCCCCAGCAGAACCCGTGTACACGACCATGCCGGCCTACACGACCGAGCCGATGCCGGCTTACACGACCATGCCGGCCTACACGACCGAGCCGATGCCGGCTTACACCTACCAGCAAGATGCCGGCGTGCCGGTGACCTACGCATCGTCGCCCTACACGATCTCGGCAGGAGCCTACACCATGCCAAGCATGCCAGCTTACTCGCCGCCGGTCTACAGCGGCTTGGACCATACCAAGGGCAAATGGTTCGCACCCGGTGAGGCGCTTCCCCCCGGCTTCGTCGTCACCTCCCACCCGGAGGGTCACACGGCACCCCAGGCAGGTTGATTTGTCGCACGTCTCATGTGAATTTCTTGAGTTCGGTAGTTAGCAGTTGTGCGATGGGTCGTGCTAGCTTGAAGCTGAAAACATTGAATTGGAGGCAACCCACGACATGACGGACATGGCTCGCGAGAGCTTTGTGGTGACCGGCACAGCAGCCAGCTCTGCCTTGCCCAAGGCCGCCGCTCCGACAAAGAAGAGCAAGAAGGGCAAGAAGAAGAAGTCCAGCGGCTGCTGCTGAGATCGAGTGAGAGGATACGGGGAGGTGATGGCAACTTTGGGCTCATTTCTCCTGGCTGTCTGAGGTGCCGGCCCGGGAAAAGGGCTTAGAAAGGTTTCGGTCTTTCAGGCCGTTGCAAGCCACACCGGCATGCCAATGAAGTTTTGTTTCGAGGCTCATCTTGACGTTGACGGCCTCAAGAGCAGTTGAAAAAGGTGACAGACGAGATGCAGCTTTGCATGCGGTCCAGTTGTACCGAATGCAGAACAGACTTGTCGTCTCCAGCAAAGTCCATCATTGCCATCAGAGGCTGTCGTGCATTTATCTGTTTTCGGAGTTGTTTTTAATTCTATGTCTGCATATAGTTACCCAACTGCCGTATCTGCCGTAGTAACATGCTTCCTCAAACCTGACCCCTGGCAAAGTGTCCCAGCCTGTACAAAGTGAAGCCAAAGCCGGAGACTTGTGAATCTAACTGCTGTTTGCACAATCCAAGATCGATGAGATGACGAAATCATCAACACAAAAAGGGAAGCATAGAGAGACCCTGCCCAAATGGGGAACTTTCTTATCGACATCTTCGTCTATCATCATGGGGAGGGTCTGTTATTGTCAACAAGGACTTCGGCTTAGCTTCTCAATCGTTGCAACGGTGCCTACTTAAGTTAAGACATCATCAGTGTTCAAGCTAAGCATCCGATGTCCACAGTCTTTGAGTATTGCTTCACCTAAGGATGGGCAGACGCCGCTGGTGTGGACGGAGGAACTGAATTGCCTGGAGAGCGAATTGGCTGAGCTTAGTTCGGGAATGTTTTGCCAGCGATTCGGGCTAGGACCGTTAGGAGGAGCTACATTGCAGGGTTCAGTGGTGCGGTTTGTGAAACCTTTCCCCGATGTGATCTGCATGAGGCCTGCAGCTGGCTGCGACGCTCCCAAGAACATCAAGTTCGGCTTTCAGTTCATGCAGGTCGGGAACTTCCGCATCGGTGCCTAGGACGGCCATCACTTTTCAGTCCGGTGCCCAGGGCTGCAGAGTCTCAAAGCAGGAGGCCCAGAGATAGCATAAGAGTGTCATCCAAGCAATAACTTATAAGCAAAAGTCAGGAGGTGAATAGGAAGCCCCCGCACACGAGTCTCCAATAACCTCTTTAGACTGCACAGGTCATCTTTTTGTGTGTGCGTGTGCCTTAGCATGTTGGGGTAAGCTACGGGGACGGAAGTGGTAGCAGCTGCTTCTATCTCCGGACAGCAGGAAGATGTAGCAACACGTGATGTAGATTGTCAGAAGCTTTTTAGCGATGAGGGGGGGAAGGAAGAAAGGCAGGGCTCACTAAACAACCAGCTCATCGACTTCTGACCAGGTACAAGTCTGTAAACGAGAACTCCCGAAAGCTCCGCACCCTGGACACAACAAGCCGGCGGCCTCCGGCCATCGGTTCGCAGCTTTTGGCAGCGGGCCTCCAACTGCGTCCCTGCAAGAGAGCATGGAGTGAGTACAGCCCCGGCATACGAAGCTGATTCGAAAGGCCCAAAAAGCCGTTATTCGGCAAACGCCCCTGAAACCGGTACATGAGCTCCTTCCTATAGCCCACTCCTATAGGTCCAGAGCAGCCCATCTCGGACCGAGGTGGCTGGCAAGGATTTCAGCGTGGCATCACCTTCGCAGACAGGCTGGAACATGGGACTGTCGGTTGGGGTTACTGTAGGGACTTGTGTCCAAGAAGATGCGATGCCGTCCACAAAAAGGTTCATTCAGCTCGGCGATTTCCTGATTGGTGATCCGGCTGGCAACAACGTCCTTGCCATGAGCTATTCAACAACGGTCTGTTCTCAGGTGGCATCATGCCGAGAGAGTTTCAGAGCCGACCTGTAGCTGACTTCCGGCATCAGCTCCCCACTACGCAGCGATCCAGCTTCAAGTTTGTCTGGGTGTTCTGGAGCACCAAGGTTCCTTTCGCAGGTCTAAGTCTAGATCTTCACTCATCTGTCTTGTGATCATCTCAGCCTCTGTCTGGACCGCGGCATCTTGAGAATTGCGCCGCCTGGTTGTCCCGAACCTGCCTTACTGCTTGGGCTGCATGGAGTGAGATGACGTGGCGAATATTTGAAGAGGCAGTTCGTGGTGCATATCCAGATGTCGAGACATCCGCAACGCATAGCCCGTGCAGGCAATGAGCTTGCTGGAATCCATGCGAGGCAGAGACTGCGCACTCAACTAGAGCTTGTCGTATGGGCCTCGTAGCAAAATGGCTTGAGCCAAATGGCTACGTAAGAAATTCGACTGAGGTGTCTTCCAAAAGGTTCGGCAACCATGCATACAATCTTGTGGTATGTGGTGCAAAAACGTGCAGCAGAGTTTTCGCGCATTTGTGTGCCACATGCCGCAAGAGTATGCATAGTTGCCGAACGTTTTGGAAGACACCTCAGTCGAGTAGTTTAGTTGCCCAGGCTCGACCTCTCCCACTACAGTTTCTAGTATGCAGACTGACGATAATCAATCCTTTCCTGTCGTGTCCCCAAGTTAGGAATGTCTCTGTACCGTGCCGACGTAATCGCCGTGCACGGCGATCGGGCAAAACGAGTTTGAGGAGGTCACAGAGAACTGGAGAGTTGGATTTGCAATCACATCAACCGGCTGCAAAAGTCTGCACGAAACCTTGTTTCCTGTCCTTGCGATGCATGCATCTTGCCCTACAAAGTCGGATCTTGGGGAGATCGTTTCATTCAAAACGGCAAAAGCGCATGGGAGACCTCCGACGACCACCACTGAAGACTCCCCAAGGCTTCTGAGCTGCAATGCAGAAGGAGTGCATGGACAAACGTTTGAGAGCGATCGGGTCACCCCTGCTGCAGCAGGCTGTGAGGACTGCAGGGTATGTCACGCTTTCGACCGTGGACTCTGAGAGTTGATGTGTGCAGACCTCCTGTTGGTACTTTTCCCGGGCAGAGATGCAGGGTGTGCGATGGAGGTTTAATATGGTTTAATGCTGATGCTTGAATACATGCTGCCTCTTACAGAACCCAGGGCCACCTGCAACTCGGTCTTCGTTGTCACGATGCAGCCCTGAATGTGTCTTCCACATGTACTGCGTGATCCAACGTTCGCAGTCTGATGTGTGGCTTACATGCATTTGACATGGACTTCATTCAAAACGCTGCGGTGTGGATGCCATGGGCTCGCAAGCTGTAATGGCTTGCTTCGTGGCGGGCTGCCATATCGGGTGTATGCCTCACTTGTGGCTTGCTGGTGTTTCGGGTTGCCTGAATCTGGTGCTGTTTTTCTGTACTTGACAGCTGCAGCCGTGATCGGAATTGACAGTTGCGGACTGCCGACATTTGAGGTGATGATTACCTGCATGTGCGAGTCAAGCGTTTAATGGCAGCGGCCTCAGTCAGGGTGGGCATGAGATGGACAAGTCGTGGAAACGGACATCTTTGGTTTCAAGCCTCAAGCCCATAAAGGAGACCCCACATTGCTGAAGGAAGGCTTATCTTCGACTGTGTCACAAACTCTGGGGTCTGCGAACCTTGTTGAGGTTTGGGCTGAAAGCCGCAGCATCGTCGAGCTGCAGCAGCGCACCAAGTGTGAATTGGGGCATAGTTCGAGGATGTTGCGTCTGAGGCATCAGGCAAGCGGCATTTCGACCTGACCTCACATCAGCTGCCGTTGATGGACTTGGCAGGCTGACAGCCGCATCGCATCCGGAAGCGGATCTCTATGCACTGGCGCCATTGCCTCATGATTGGTTGCCCATGATTTTAGCTTCCTGGCATTCGCAGCGCGAAAGGCGCAGCATGGCTAGCTACTTGGCGGAAGTCGCTCCTTCAGTCCAGGTTGCCGCACTTCTGTACGTCCCGCTTCCTCTGCGCCGCTGACTCAGATTTCGCTTTCGGGGTTCCAAAGGTTTTTGCGGCCCCCAGGCAGTAAGAGCTCCTGTTTTTTGATTGAAAACCCTCTCTCTTTCTCTCTCTCTCTTTCTCATATATATGTATATATAAGCAGTATCTTATACCAATCTGTATATATATATATATATGTATATATGTATGTATGTATGTATATTCACCCCGCTCGGAGGTGGTGGCTCAGTTGATATATGTCTGGGATGGAGCAACAAGATCCACGGCAACATTGACTTTTCTGTTCCTACGAACAGGGTTAAGCGGAACCTGAAGGGTAACGAGCCCATGGTTGTCTCGCATCTCCCGGCAGCCGATCAGGCCCTTCTCACACAGCGACGAAGCGTCTGGCCTGGCTGGACGAAGGCATCCGCAAAGCACAGGCCAGCATGAGGCAGGGCTGTTTGGAGAAGCGAATCTCTAGTCTTGTATAGCTTTGCTCAACTTTCTAGCTGTTCTTGCAAATCTTGTCATGCCTATGTGTCCGTCGTGTTAGGACCTTGGGCCTTTCGTCACTGACACCCCTGAAAGCGTATACGTAACATAAATGTAACATGTCACGTCGTAGTGTGTCATCGTAATCAGCGACACAATCAAAATCTTTCCCGAACTTGTCTGTCAGGTTTCGCAGCCTTTGCTGTAAATAAAATGTTGGACTTCCGATCAAGCAATCGTGCATTCACGTAGTGAAATCACCCAAAAAAACGTGAGCATGTGTGAATTCTCACGTAGTTCGTGCAATGTCGTGTCGTTTTGTGCAGAACAGTAACTTCCCAAACCACGTGTGACTTCATGTAGTCCGCGACTGACGAGTCTTCTTTCAAAATCAAAAGTTTGCAGCGCATGCAGGAATTGAAATCCAACGGATGAGCAGCCCTAAGCTGGCAACGTGCAGGAGCAATCCAACTTCGCCCATGCCTGAAGTAGAACGCCCTAAACACCGAAGGCCAACCATGAAACTTCGGAGCCAGCCACAATGTTCGCTGATGATGCTTGCATTGTGGCTAACGAACTGGCTTTTTGGATATTTCTGATGCTTCAGCCGCTAGCCACTAGTTCCCCACCCGGAACGAGCAAAGCTGCAACTAAACTTGACTTTCTACAATCGTCATTGTGCGTCTTTGTGTATGTGTGTCGGCATGTAAGCCTGTTGCAAAATGTGGCCACCGCCGCAGTCATGTTGGTTTGCCAGTCCCTCAACGTATTGCGGCGGCTCCAGGAGGCAGATGAGAAGTGCCAAGTCAAATTATGGCTAAATGTGCAGATACAAAGGGGCTTCAAAGGGGCATGTAGAACTGCAATTCAGATTATGTATTTTCAGACAGTGTGTGTGGAAGTTGAAGCCTTCTCCGAGCGAGAGTTCGGCCGACCCCATCTCACATCACGTGGAGTCCTGAGTAATCTCTCGTTCTGACGCAGGCTCCGGTCGCATGTTCTGATGCCGGCTTCTTTCGTCATGGGCCTAGGCAGCACCCATGTAGGCGACATAGAGGCTTTATTGACGGTGTACCAGTACGACAGGCAAATCTGCAGTGAGGACCAACGGAATGGAACTGTAGCTGGGAAACATCCTGGGCGCAGGTTTTGTCAGGATTGTCCTTTTCAGCTCGGCCCCAGCTAAGCCTAAGCCTCCCACAGGATCTGCGACTGCGAAGTCCTGCCAGCAGCGCGCGGACTGGCCTTGGGAAGCTTGGATTCAACACTGTTGAAGCTGCAGAGGTTTGCGGTCTGCCTTTCTCGGAGCACCGAGATTTGCTAGCCACATGCAACAATCTGCAGCTGTCTTGGCCCGCATCGTCCATCGCTCATTGCGTCACCATGGCGGCCCCAGCAGAACCCGTGTACATGACCATGCCGGCCTACACGAGCGAGCCGATGCCGGCTTACACCTACCAGCAAGATGCCGGCGTGCCGGTGACCTACGCATCGTCGCCCTACACGATCTCGGCAGGAGCTTACACCATGCCAAGCATGCCAGCTTACTCGCCGCCGGTCTACAGCGGCTTGGACCATACCAAGGGCAAATGGTTCGCACCCGGTGAGGCGCTTCCCCCCGGCTTCGTCGTCACCTCCCACCCGGAGGGTCACACGGCACCCCAGGCAGGTTGATTGCTTACACGTCTCATGTGAAATTCTTGAGTTCGGTAGTCAGCAGTTGTGCGATGGGTCGTGCTAGCTTGAAGCTGAAAACATTAACTTGGAGGCAACCCACGACATGACGGACATGGCTCGCGAGAGCTTTGTGGTGACCGGCACAGCAGCCAGCTCTGCCTTGCCCAAGGCCGCCGCTCCGACAAAGAAGAGCAAGAAGGGCAAGAAGAAGAAGTCCAGCGGCTGCTGCTGAGATCGAGTGAGAGGATACGGGGAGGTGATGGCAACTTTGGGCTCATTTCTCCTGGCTGTCTGAGGTGCCGGCCAGGGAAAAGGGCTTAGAAAGGTTTCGGCCTTTCAGGCCGTTGCAAGCCACACCGGCATGCCAATGAAGTTTTCTTTCGAGGCTCACCTTGACGTTGACGGCCTCAAGATCAGTTGAAAAAGGTGACAGACGAGATGCAGCTTTGCATGTGGTCCAGTTGTACCGAATGCAGAACAGACTTGTCGTCTCCAGCAAAGTGCATCATTGCCATCAGTTTGTTTCGGATTTTGCATCTAGGTCTGCGTATAGTTACCTCAACGCCGTATTTGCCGTCGTAAATTCCTTCCTCAACCCTGGCCCCTGGCAAAGTGCCCAAGCCCATCCGCTGTGAAGTCAAAGCTCGTGAATCTAACTGCTCCATCCCAAGTCCACAGAACGCAAGATCGATGGTTACGTATATACACACACATACATGTTTTAAGAGGTATAGAAGTTTCGGAATGTGGTTTGTTGGCCTGGTTCAGGGGGTAGCATGTCTCTTGGTGCAGGGGTTGCACGCAGCAATTTCGGAAAGCCTGGCAACGGGGTAGTAGCGCTTTAGATACGCTTGACTTCAATTTTGCCAGCTTTCGAAAGTCCTTGGAAAGCGTTGGATCGTGTCATACCAGACTCGTATCATCTGCGAACATGGTTCTTGCTACTGATGCCGATGCGTGCGTGGGTGGGTGAGTCAGTGAGTGGGTTTTTCTGCGTAAGCGCGTGCATGCATTCGTCTGTGTGACGGTCGACAAGGACGTCCTTTGGCCCCTGCCGTAAGCCCAAGCCCAAGAAACGAAAGTCCCCCCATCGTGGCGAATTCGCCCCCCTCGCCTGTACGATCCCGTGTGTAGATGGGGCATTCCCCTCGCAAAGCTCCGCCACTTAAGAGCCCCGGCTTTCTCGTTACCTGTTTGATTCTCGGAGTCCTTTCCTTACCTGCGGCTGCAACGGTTGGTAGCAGAAGCTGCACTAACAATCTGCAGCTGTCTTGGCCCGCATCGTCCATCGCTCATTGCGTCACCATGGCGGCCCCAGCAGAACCCGTGTACACGACCATGCCGGCCTACACGAGCGAGCCGATGCCGGCTTACACCTACCAGCAAGATGCCGGCGTGCCGGTGACCTACGCATCGTCGCCCTACACGATCTCGGCAGGAGCTTACACCATGCCAAGCATGCCAGCTTACTCGCCGCCGGTCTACAGCGGCTTGGACCATACCAAGGGCAAATGGTTCGCACCCGGTGAGGCGCTTCCCCCCGGCTTCGTCGTCACCTCCCACCCGGAGGGTCACACGGCACCCCAGGCAGGTTGATTGCTTACACGTCTCATGTGAAATTCTTGAGTTCGGTAGTTAGCAGTTGTGCGATGGGTCGTGCTAGCTTGAAGCTGAAAACATTAACTTGGAGGCAACCCACGACATGACGGACATGGCTCGCGAGAGCTTTGTGGTGACCGGCACAGCAGCCAGCTCTGCCTTGCCCAAGGCCGCCGCTCCGACAAAGAAGAGCAAGAAGGGCAAGAAGAAGAAGTCCAGCGGCTGCTGCTGAGATCGAGTGAGAGGATACGGGGAGGTGATGGCAACTTTGGGCTCATTTCTCCTGGCTGTCTGAGGTGCCGGCCAGGGAAAAGGGCTTAGAAAGGTTTCGGCCTTTCAGGCCGTTGCAAGCCACACCGGCATGCCAATGAAGTTTTCTTTCGAGGCTCACCTTGACGTTGACGGCCTCAAGATCAGTTGAAAAAGGTGACAGACGAGATGCAGCTTTGCATGTGGTCCAGTTGTACCGAATGCAGAACAGACTTGTCGTCTCCAGCAAAGTGCATCATTGCCATCAGTTTGTTTCGGATTTTGCATCTAGGTCTGCGTATAGTTACCTCAACGCCGTATTTGCCGTCGTAAATTCCTTCCTCAACCCTGGCCCCTGGCAAAGTGCCCAAGCCCATCCGCTGTGAAGTCAAAGCTCGTGAATCTAACTGCTCCATCCCAAGTCCACAGAACGCAAGATCGATGGTTACGTATATACACACACATACATGTTTTAAGAGGTATAGAAGTTTCGGAATGTGGTTTGTTGGCCTGGTTCAGGGGGTAGCATGTCTCTTGGTGCAGGGGTTGCACGCAGCAATTTCGGAAAGCCTGGCAACGGGGTAGTAGCGCTTTAGATACGCTTGACTTCAATTTTGCCAGCTTTCGAAAGTCCTTGGAAAGCGTTGGATCGTGTCATACCAGACTCGTATCATCTGCGAACATGGTTCTTGCTACTGATGCCGATGCGTGCGTGGGTGGGTGAGTCAGTGAGTGGGTTTTTCTGCGTAAGCGAGTGCATGCATTCGTCTGTGTGACGGTCGACAAGGACGTCCTTTGGCCCCTGCCGTAAGCCCAAGCCCAAGAAACGAAAGTCCCCCCATCGTGGCGAATTCGCCCCCCTCGCCTGTACGATCCCGTGTGTAGATGGGGCATTCCCCTCGCAAAGCTCCGCCACTTAAGAGCCCCGGCTTTCTCGTTACCTGTTTGATTCTCGGAGTCCTTTCCTTACCTGCGGCTGCAACGGTTGGTAGCAGAAGCTGCACTAACAATCTGCAGCTGTCTTGGCCCGCATCGTCCATCGCTCATTGCGTCACCATGGCGGCCCCAGCAGAACCCGTGTACACGACCATGCCGGCCTACACGAGCGAGCCGATGCCGGCTTACACGACCATGCCGGCCTACACGAGCGAGCCGATGCCGGCTTACACCTACCAGCAAGATGCCGGCGTGCCGGTGACCTACGCATCGTCGCCCTACACGATCTCGGCAGGAGCCTACACCATGCCAAGCATGCCAGCTTACTCGCCGCCGGTCTACAGCGGCTTGGACCATACCAAGGGCAAATGGTTCGCACCCGGTGAGGCGCTTCCCCCCGGCTTCGTCGTCACCTCCCACCCGGAGGGTCACACGGCACCCCAGGCAGGTTGATTGCTTACACGTCTCATGTGAAATTCTTGAGTTCGGTAGTTAGCAGTTGTGCGATGGGTCGTGCTAGCTTGAAGCTGAAAAACATTAACTTGGAGGCAACCCACGACATGACGGACATGGCTCGCGAGAGCTTTGTGGTGACCGGCACAGCAGCCAGCTCTGCCTTGCCCAAGGCCGCCGCTCCGACAAAGAAGAGCAAGAAGGGCAAGAAGAAGAAGTCCAGCGGCTGCTGCTGAGATCGAGTGAGAGGATACGGGGAGGTGATGGCAACTTTGGGCTCATTTCTCCTGGCTGTCTGAGGTGCCGGCCAGGGAAAAGGGCTTAGAAAGGTTTCGGCCTTTCAGGCCGTTGCAAGCCACACCGGCATGCCAATGAAGTTTTCTTTCGAGGCTCACCTTGACGTTGACGGCCTCAAGATCAGTTGAAAAAGGTGACAGACGAGATGCAGCTTTGCATGTGGTCCAGTTGTACCGAATGCAGAACAGACTTGTCGTCTCCAGCAAAGTCCATCTTGCCATCAGAGGCTGTCGTGCATTTGTCTGTTTTCGGAGTTGTTTTTAATTCTATGTCTGCATATAGTTACCCAAACGCCGTATCTGCCGTAGTAACATGCTTCCTCAAACCTGACCCCTGGCAAAGTGTCCCAGCCCGTACAATGTGAAGCCAAAGCCGGAGACTTGTGAATCTAACTGCTGTTTGCACAATCCAAGATCGATGAGCTCTTCGGTTCGCTCCATGGCGAAATCATAAACACAAAAAAGGAAGCATAGAGAGACCCTGCCCAAATGGGGAACTTTCTTATCGACATCTTCGTCTATCATCATGGGGAGGGTCTGTTATCGTCTGTCCCGTCAACAAGGACTTCGTCAACAAGGACTTCGGCTTAGCTTCTCAATGCGTTGCAACGGTACCTACTTAAGTTAAGACATCATCAGTGTTCAAGCTAAGCAGCCGATGTCCACAGTCTTTGAGTATTGCTTCACCTAAGGATGGGCAGACGCCGCTGGTGTGGACGGAGGAACTGAATTGCCTGGAGAGCGAATTGGCTGAGCTTAGTTCCGGAATGTTTTGCCAGCGATTCGGGCTAGGACCGTTAGGAGGAGCTACATTGCATGGTTCAGTGGTGCAGTTTGTGAAACCTTTCCCCGATGTGAACTGCATGAGGCCTGCAGCTGGCTGCGACGCTCCCAAGAACATCAAGTTCCGCTTTCAGTTCATGCAGGTCGGGAACTTCCGCATCGGTGCCTAGGACGGCCATCACTTTTCAGTCCGGTGCCCAGGGCTGCAGAGTCTCAAAGCAGGAGGCCCAGAGATAGCATAAGAGTGTCATCCAAGCAATAACTTATAAGCAAAAGTCAGGAGGTGAATAGGAAGCCCCCGCACACGAGTCTCCAATAACCACGAAAACTGACTCTCGTGGAGCTTTCGGGAGTTCTCGTTTACAGACTTGTTCCTGGTCAGAAGTCGATGAGCTGGTTGTTTAGTGAGCCCTGCCTTTCTTCGTTCCCCCCTCATCGCTGAAAAGCTTCTGACAATCTACATCACGTGTTGCTACATCTTCCTGCTGTCCGGAGATAGAAGCAGCTGCTACCACTTCCGTCCCCGTAGCTTACCCCAACATGCTAAGGCACACGCACACACAAAAAGATGACCTGTGCGGTCTAAAGAGCTGATGACGTTCCGCACCCTGGACACAACAAGCCGGCGGCCTCCGGCCATCGGTTCACAGCTTTTGGCAGCGGGCCTCCAACTGCGTCCCTACAAGAGAGCATGGAGTGAGTACAGCCCCGGCATACGAAGCTGATTCGAAAGGCCCAAAAAGCCGTTATTCGGCAAACGCCCCTGAAACCGGTACATGAGCTCCTTCCTAGCCCACTCCTATAGGTCCAGAGCAGCCCATCTCGGACCGAGGTGGCTGGCAAGGATTTCAGCGTGGCATCACCTTCGCAGACAGGCTGGAACATGGGACTGTCGTTGGGGTTACTGTAGGGACTTGAGTCCAAGAAGATGCGATGCCGTCCACAAAAAGGTTCATTCAGCTTGGCGATTTCCTGATTGGTGATCCGGCTGGCAACAACGTCCTTGCCATGAGCTATTCAACAACGGTCTGTTGTCAAATACCGGCACGGTGAAACTCGAGCCTGATGGTGGCATCATGCAGAGAGAGTTTCAGAGCCGACCTGTAGCTGACTTCCGGCATCAGCTCCCCACTACGCAGCGATCCAGCTTCAGGTTTGTCTGGGTGTTCTGGAGCACCAAGGTTCCTTTCGCAGGTCTAAGTCTAGATCTTCACTCATCTGTCTTGTGATCATCTCAGCCTCTGTCTGGACCGCGGCATCTTGAGAATTGCGCCGCCTGGTTGTCCCGAACCTGCCTTACTGCCTGGGCTGCATGGAGTGAGATGACGTGGCGAATATTTGAAGAGGCAGTTCGTGGTGCATATCCAGATGTCGAGACATCCGCAACGCATAGCCCGTGCAGGCAATGAGCTTGCTGGAATCCATGCGAGGCAGAGACTGTGCACTCAACTAGAGCTTGCCGTATGGGCCTCGTAGCAAAATGGCTTGAGCCAAATGGCTACGTAAGAAATTCGACTGAGGTGTCTTCCAAAAGGTTCGGCAACCATGCATACAATCTTGCGATATGTGGTGCAAAAACGTGCAGCAGAGTTTTCGCGCATTTGTGCCACATGCCGCAAGAGTATGCATAGTTGCCGAACGTTTTGGAACACACCTCAGTCGAGTAGTTTAGTTGCCCAGGCTCGACCTCTCCCACTACAGTTTCTAGTATGCAGACTGACGATAATCAACCCTTTCCTGTCGTGTCCCCAAGTTAGGAATGTCTCTGTACCGTGCCGACGTAATCGCCGTGCACGGCGATCGGGCAAAACGAGTTTGAGGAGGTCACAGAGAATTGGAGAGTTGGATTTGCAATCACATCAACCGGCTGCAAGAGTCTGCGCGACGCCTTGTTTCCTGTCCTTGCGATGCATGCATCTTGCTCTACAAAGTCGGATCTTGGGGAGATCGTTTCATTCAAAACGGCAAAAGCGCCTGGGAGACCTCCGACGACCACCACTGAAGACTCCTCAAGGCTTCTGAGCTGCAATGCAGAAGGAGTGCATGGACAAACGTTTGAGAGCGATCGGGTCACCCCTGCTGCAGCAGGCTGTGAGGACTGCAGGGTATGTCACGCTTTCGACCGTGGACTCTGAGAGTTGATGTGTGCAGACCTCCTGTTGGTACCTTTCCCGGGCAGAAATGCAGGGTGTGCGATGGAGGTTTAATATGGTTTAATGCTGATGCTTGAATACATGCTGCCTCTTACAGAACCCAGGGCCACCATTGTCACGATGCAGCCCTGAATGTGTCTTCCACATGTACTGCGTGATCCCACGTTCGCAGTCTGATGTGTGGCTTACATGCATTCGACATGGACTTCATTCAAAACGCTGCGGTGTGGATGCCATGGGCTCGCAAGCTGTAATGGGTGCGCACAATCTCCAGGTATCTCCAGCTGCTAAGTTCGACTAAGCAAACACTCCAATGCGGATGGTAATCAAAATTCGCCTCTCTGTCACTGGTTTCTAGCGCTAGAACACCATTGGACGGATGACAAGTTTGTAGAAGTTCGTGTCATGTTGCAGTCGCTTGCTTCGTGGCGCGCTGCCATATCGCGTGTATGCCTCACTTGTGGCTTGCTGGTGTTTCGGGTTGCTTGAATCTGGTGCTGTTTTCTGTACTTGACCAGCTGCGGCTGTGATCGGAATTGACAGTTGCGGACTGCTGACATTTGAGGTGATGATTACCTGCATGTGCGAGTCAAGCGTTTAATGGCAGCGGCCTCAGTCAGGGTGGGCATGAGATGGACAAGTCGTGGAAACGGACATCTCTGGTTTCAAGCCTCAAGCCCATAAAGGAGACCCCACATTGCTGAAGGAAGGCTTATCTTCGACTGTGTCACAAACTCTGGAGTCTGCGAACCTTGTTGAGGTTTGGGCTGAAAGCCGCAGCATCGTCGAGCTGCAGCAGCGCACCAAGTGTGAATTGGGGCATAGTTCGAGGATGTTGCGTCTGAGGCATCAGGCAAGCGGCATTTCGACCTGACCTCACATCAGCTGCCGTTGATGGACTTGGCAGGCTGACAGCCGCATCGCATCCGGAAGCGGATCTCTATGCACTGGCGCCATTGCCTCATGATTGGTTGCCCATGATTTTAGCTTCCTGGCATTCGCAGCGCGAACGGCGCAGCATGGCTAGCTACTTGGCGGAAGTCGCTCCTTCAGTCCAGGTTGCCGCACTTCTGTACGTCCCGCTTCCTCTGCGCCGCTGACTCAGATTTCGCTTTCGGGGTTCCAAAGGTTTTTGCGGCCCCCAGGCAGTAAGAGCTCCTGTTTTTTGATTGAAAACCCAGGCTCCGGAGTTTCGGAACCTGGTGGTCGCTTGCAGAGGACCGACTCGATGGCCCTCGCTGCGGTTAGTCGAAGTCCTGCAAAGTGTCAGAGATTCCTTACTTGGAGGATCGTGGGACTTAGTAACTATGGTTATACGTACCTTAATTGGGGTTACAAGTAAAACTAACTACAGTTATATAGATGCTTTATGTCTAAGAAGCTTAGTTACTAAGTCCTGCCGTGATCCTTTAAGTCATCCGCAGGATCCTGCCGGACTCTGGCTCGGCCGGACTTGCTCGAGTGCCGCTCTTAGACAGGGATGCGACCCTAAAGCCCTAAAGCCCTAAAAGCCCTAGAGCCCTGAACGCCCTAAAGCCCTAAAGCGCTATGCCCTAAAGCCCTTTTGTTGAGTTTGTTGGACTCATGACCTGCATCGAGCATCGAGACTTGGTGTGCAGCGGCCCTGCAGGGTTGTAAGCATGCGATCTCAAGAAGGCATGTCGCGTGAGGATTTCTCCTCTCCCAAAGTCGCTTCGTGAAGCAGAGGCCGCTCATGAAGGTGTCGGAGCTCGGGTATTGCCAAATACAAGGCAGGGCCCTGAGTCCCGGTCTCGTTGCAGCAAATGCACAGGCCGCTGGTAACATTCTGGGTTTTTATGGTGGAAGTAAAGGAATTAGACGTGTTTGTCGGTGTTCGCACCCTCCCTTGTATTTTTGGTTTCAAATCGCTCGAAGTTACTGGCAGGGTCATGCTATTTGGCTCCTGGGGGCTTCTCGTGTAATCTCTTAATCCTGCCGTTTCAAGTGGATTTTGTACTTTCGCCAAGGTTCAGCAGTCGTGATGCCAGCCCTAGTGTCGCGCGAAATTCGCCTTTCTGTTCTGCCTCCGAAAATCGCGTGTTCCCGTTTCGTTTTTTGCGTAGGACTCGTGTTCTCGTCGCAGCGTGGCGTGAGTTCCGCAGTGACTGCTGGGTGCTTGAGAGTCCCAGCGGCACTTCATGGATTCTTGGGTCGGGCATGGACTGCTAGGCCCTATCTATCTATCTATCTACCTATCTACCTATATGTATATATACATGTGTATATATATATATATCTCTCTCTCTCTCTCTCTCTCTTTCCTCCCTCCCCCTCCCCCTCCTCCCTCCCTGCCTCCCTCCCTCCCTCCACCCCCTCCCTCCTCGCTCTCTTCTCCTCTCTCTCTCTCGATTGTTTTTTTTTCTCTCTCTTTTCTCTCTCTCTCTCTCTCTCTCTCTCTCTCTCTCTCTCTCTCTCTCTCTCTCTCTCTCTCTCTCTCTCTCTCTCTCTCTCTTTCTCATATATATGTATATATAAGCAGTATCTTATACCTATCTGTATATATATATATATATATACATATATACATATGTATGCATGTATATTCACCCCGCTCGGGGGTGGTGGCTCAGTTGATATATGTCTGGGATGGAGCAACAAGATCCACTGCAACATTGACTTTTCTGTTCCTACGAACAGGGTTAAGCGGAACCTGAACGGTAACGAGCCCATGGTTGTCTCGCATCTCCCGGCAGCCGATCAGGCCTTTCTCAAACAGCGACGAAGCGTCTGGCCTGGCTGGACGAAGGCATCCGCAAAGCACAGGCCAGCATGAGGCAGGGCTGTTTGGAGAAGCGAATCTCTAGTCTTGTATAGCTTTGCTCAACTTTCTAGCTGTTCTTGCAAATCTTGTCATGCCTATGTGTCCGTCGTGTTAGGACCTTGGGCCTTTCGTCACTGACACCCCTGAAAGCGGAGATGAAAGTTGGCGAGCCGGTGCAGCTCTCGGTGCTTGAGTTGTAGACAGGAACCTCGAGCTGGACAATCTGTGCTCTTAC